TTTGTTTGTTTGTTTGTTGGTTTGTTTGTTTGGTTGGTTGGTTTGTTTGTTTGTTTGTTTGGTTGTTTGGTTTGTTTGTTTGTTTGTTTGTTTGTTGTTCGCAGTGCGTTTCGCACATGGTTGTTCATGGAGGTTTTGGTCTGTTTGTGTGTCTTTTCCGGCGCGTTTGGTGTGACATCAGAGTGTGAGGAAATCGCCAGCCCCGCTCTACATGACCTACAACCACCACCACGCGCTCATGTTGGGGCCTCACGAGGACCTCATGAAGCAGCTCGGCACCGCAGGAAGCTGTTTCGACAGTGGCCATGGGAGGGCCCGCCCTGAGAAAGCAATCCAAAGTCTAGACTGCCGTCAAGCTGAGCATAGACTGCTACAGTAGTGGTGGGTTGGGGAAATGTACTTAATCCATCTTAATCGTGGATTTGCACCCTGGAACATTAACATGGAACCTGAAAACCACTGGATTGTATTGTAGAGAAACATCGTCCTCCAGTCTGGTCCATGCCTTTTTCTTCCGGTTCCATGTGGGTCTCAAACACCACCAGGTTGACCGGACCGAAAATCGGACCGAAAGGTCCACGAAGATGGATGGGCATTCCATCTCATTCCAGCAACTGAATGGGATTGGATGCTGGTTTTGTGGTTGAACTGGGTTAGGATGGCATGAAGGAAATGGAGGATGTTTCTTTTCTGCATACTGCTGGCATGGCAGTATGCATTAAATCAGAGTGATTTTCGGGGTCAGGTCGTATTTCAAGTAAATGGAGTCTTGATGTTTGCCTATGAACCTTACTACTACAACACCTTGAACGTCCAAGCGTCCAAGGGTCCAATGGCAAGACTCATGCAATTGTTCTGCTAACTCTGCCAACTAAACAGCAAAACTCGAGGCTGATTGGTGCTAAACCAGACGGCTCGAGTCTCCAGACTGCTATGATTCGAGTCTCCATTGGTTTCACCCTTTGTTCACCACCGACGTCTCTCCCCGTTGCCAGCGAGTCTCTCCGTGTGTCGAGCCCAACGGCTGACCCGCGGGTCCATCCTCGCTGGTCCATCCTCGAGGTTGTACAACTACACCAAGGATCACGATCCATTGGACCCCACCAGCTTCCCCAACCAGACGAAGAAGCACCACATGCACCGAGGGTGCATGATGACGCTTTTCCGCATGTCCGCATACGCGCGACAGGCGCGTTTCTCGCGCGCGTTCGCAGGTGCTGAAGGAAGTATAGTAAGTGTGATCGGCAGACCGACCCTTTTTTAGAACTATAGTGGTAACATCCATGCCACATGAGGGAGTGAGAGTTTCCACTTGTTTCCACCCTCAAGTTCCAAAGAATCCCGTGCAACATGGGGAAGAATTCGAGTGCTATTAGCACCCTGTGAGTCATTGAAGCTGAACACACATTGCTTCACCCCAAACAATTACATAAATCATCAGAACTGTCCAATGAGAGATCTTCAACACACCTTGGAATGCCAAGGTGATTGAAGCCTGAGAACGGACCAAATGAACTGGTAACACATCAAACTTCGTAAGGATTTTGCGAAAAATTGCCAAGGTGCCTCAGGAACTTCTTCGACCCCTTGACCCCCTCCCCCCCCCCCAAAACCTCCGGTTTGCGCCTCAGGAAGCGCCGCTCCTTCGAGGCCCTGCTCACGGCCGCGCTGCCGCAGGGCCGCCGCTCGCAGGTGGCCGCCTTCGGCGGCGCCAGCGGCGCGGAGTACCGCGGCACGTCCACCAAGCTGGCGGGACGCTACACGTGCCACGGTGAAGGGCGAAAGGGGGGGGAAAGGTAGAAAGGTAGGTCAGGTGGCGGGGTGAGGGTAAGGTCAGGTGAGATGTGGGGTAGGATGGAAATGGTGGATGTGGTGATGACGTGGAGTTGGCAGATGTGGTGGTGAATTTCGTGGTGGTATATAGATCGGGTTGGCTAGCTTTGTTGATAATACGGCAAAGGCTTGAAAAGATAGGTGGGGTGGGGCTGGTGAAGTGCGAAGTTTGCAAAGCATGGGTCGCAGATTATGGCCAGCATGCCATGTTGCGTTTGGGTGAGGGATGATGAGCTGTGATAGGTAAGTGGCCAGACAAGCAAAAGCAGCCACATCCTCATGTTCCAAGCCCCTACTACAAAAAAAGGAGTTCCATGTTCGTGTTCATCACACTCGGCCATATTCACTAGCAGCATGCAGGGAGACCGTTGCAGCGCCCGTACCGCCGTCCTTCGTTCGGCCGGTCTCGCCGGAAATTTCCGGTCTCGCCGTGGCGAGACAGGTATGCAGTGGACAGCCCGGACAGTTTCATGGTGCTGATGCACTTCATCAACACATATGGAGCCTGAGCCAAGACTGGGAAGTCCTGATGGGTTCTGATGGGTTTGGGCTTTGGGAGGGGTCTACCTTCCACTGCCCGGCTGGGCCACACAGGGGGGGCTGTTTCAATGACCTGTGACCTCCTTAAGTCCTTTTGTTGTTGGGCTGGGTGCCAGGAGGACCACTGGTGTCCTATGTGTGAGAAAACCAGGTGATAGCTTTGTCTCACATGTTTTAGAAGGCAAGGAATACAATGCATGATCAAGACACACACACACACACAAACCGGACCCAAAGGTTTTTGCATCGGCTCTTCATGTGTGTGTGGGAGTGTGAGGACCTCCATCAAGCGAGCAATCCTTGCATTTCCCAAGAAATTCCAAGGCACCTTAAAGGGGTCTTTGACCCTTTGAATCCCTTTGACCCGCATTCACAAAAAATGGAGATGAGGATCTGTACTCTGAGACAGGTTCCTGTGAGAACCTCATTTTCACTGACTGTAGGGAGAACCCCAAGCGTTCCAATCTGCTAGTGACCACTGGCAAATTTTCCCCACCCAAATCAATGTACATGCACCGATCTCCAGGTTCTGTTGGTGATTCCACTGTTCCACTTCTTTAGTTCAGATATATATATATATTAATATATATATATATGTCATCCTTGTCCCCAAAAGCGCTTGAGACAAGCGGAGAGCACGGGTCGCGCCCGCACGCACGCACCAAGGCGCACCTGAAAGCCAGAAGCTCTGGGAGTGTCCTTGCACCAGCGCCCGCAAGATCGACGTGAAGAACGGGACCATTGACGGTCAGAAGCCGATCCCTTTCTCCTGTGCCTCAGAATCGGGGTGAGTCGGGTGTGAAGGTTCCACGAATCTGTCCCACACGAATCGGTCCCACACTCCATGCAAGTCAACTACCTGCTTTCACCACCCTAAGAAGCACCAAATTGTAGGCCATGGCAGGCAGATCCCATCATTTGGATCTGAGAAATCCTAAGCACCACTCTACCCTTTTTTCGTGAAGTTGACAC